AGAGGGATGGGATTGAAAACACATTTATACTAAGCCACATAGTGATTGGGAAACCTACCTAAAGACAGGAGGTCCCAAGTCCAAGATTCAAAGGGAAAAACAAGTCATTTTTATCATATCTGATGTATTAATGTACCACTTTATTAATTAATGAAAGTTTAAAAATTTCTATTCCATCCCTGGTTGCATGGTACGATTAGCTACAGCAAATGGAGAGGTTGAGTTCACTTTTAATGATTCCATTTGCCTAGATGATATAAAGCCTAGGCTGCACTGCCAAACTGTAGGGCATCCTCCATAGTTCACCTATGTGTGTGGAAGTGGAGGCCGCTTCCTATGGGAATTCCCTGGAGCGCTCAAGAAAACCAAGAATGGCGTATGACCTTTCAATGCACAAGCCTTTAGAAAACCACAACATTTTGAAAGAATATGTGGTATGTGGGGCACTTCTATAATGGTTCAACGTTCGGCCACTCACTATCCCGATAAGCGGTCTACATAACATTATATGGAGGTTCAAGTTTATAAGAAACCTTCAAGGTTCGACCACTCACTATCCCGGTAAGACATAAACATTATATGGAGGTTCAAGTCTGTAAGACACCTTCACTTAATGCATGGTCTTTCCTGACTTATTCTTTGAGAGACCTATTATTTCGAAACATTTTCAAAATTAACAGCTCCAAACTTGGCAGGCTGAAAAGCTCGAGTGACTCAAGTGATGCCGAGGCAACTATCCTGAGTATTTTTATAATCAGTCTAGTCGAAAATACTATAAAAGCTTTATTGTACAAAAAGCTCATAGTTTAAGCTTAGGCATGAATGAAAATCGGTTCCGATATCGCTTCCTTTCCTCCACCTATGTTATCTGCTTGCGCTAGGGCGTTCCCTGTACGCGACGCGCTGTACTGGAGCCTCACTGAGGGTATGGCCCTTTGATAAAGCAGAAAGGCGGACCAAGATTCATGTAGCCGACCCCAAGTAGTTTAGAAAAGGCTCTAATGATGATGATGCTATTAGCGCGGAACTAAAATCTTAGTCAATCATAGTACGACCACAGTTTACGACCACAATTGAAGCAAATAGAGAAAACTAGCATTTGAGAAGAGGAGATTGCAGGATTTGAGGTGCCCGCATGTTGAACATCTAGAAGAGCCTCAACTAACAAATTTTTTGTGGCCATTTTCAGCCACTCAAGATGCATGGGTCAGAATACACTTTGGGGATATTGACAGATCTTTCTGAGGGATAGAAGAAGACTAAAGGTGTAGAATCAATGAGCTGGAGTTCACCTGTTGAGATTATGCTACATACCAAGATATCTTGAAGGCTTTCCTTATAGGAAATCTGATTTCCTATTCCATTCCCTCTATTGAAGTTTGAGAAAGATTGGATAAGAGGTTGTAAGTTGTGAAGTTTTCCTCAAAATTTCACTGAAAGAACAGCACACATCAATACCTCTTTAGACTATTATTTCACGCGACTAAAGATACGCGATCTTAGTCCATCTTGGAAAGAAATTCAAATGTGAATCATCAATCCGCTCACCCAAGGAAGCCCAAGTCTCCAAATAACTTCTATGAATGCCATGGAAAGAAAGTTCTTACTCTGTTCTCAATCAGTAACTCTGTTCCTAGGGAGGCAAAATACAAGCTAGGTGATATTAATGAGAAGATTCCCAAAGTGGGAAGGGTGGGTGAAAGCCAAACATCAAGGAATAAAAAGCAAATAATCTTTTACTGACATAATGGATTCTGAACTCAATTGAGAACTGCACTAAGAAGGAGCTATAGTTCTTGAGAACCACATGAAAAATCTGCAATATAGCGAATGACACTTGCAGAAAGATCATATAAAGAGCGTATATAGTTTGTAGCATAACACTCCAAACTATTGGTATGCTACCAAATCACATGCTGGATAATGTGGTACCATATGTGGTATGTGGAAAGAGCTCTACCACTATGTGCTGATTCCTTGTCAGTGCTCCGGGGATGTTTCCAGGCAACTTAAGTAGTATGCAGATAGAAGAATGCTTTTGCTCTAATAAGCAGGGCTGGATAATGAAGACGAGCATATAGGGTCAAATACTAGAAAAACAGAAGTTTCTATCCCTTAATGGAACTTATGCCATGAGACAGAAAGTCAAAAGAGAAATCAAACTATAAGTCTACATAACCTTAATGACTCTCACAACATAATGCACTTCCTTTGGGAGAAAGGAAGAGAGATGATGTGAGCAAAGTAGGGTTGAGTGAGATGTGGTGTTATTACTGAATGGAATTTGTTGTCGTTGCAGAAAATAACAGATCTCTTCCACGGGAGCAAGTCTTACAAGGCAGCACCAATCACATGTTCCTAATTTCCCATCTCTATGTAAAACACCCTTCTATATCTTAGGTCAATAATCTGGGTTCGATAATCTAGGAAAAGAGTGTAATTTTGATATCTTGAGTCGATAATCCAAAAAAAATAGAGAGCTTGAGGAAGATGTCGCGCATAGAATTAGAGCTGGGTGGGCAAAGTGGAGAAGTGCAACCGGAGTCTTATGTGATCGCTGCATACCAATGAAGTTGAAGGAGAAGTTCTATAAGACAGATGTGATACTAGCTTTACTTTATGGGGCAGAATGTTAGGTGGCCAAGAGACAAAACATCCATAGGATGAGTGCAGATGAGATGAGGATGTTGAGATGGATATGAGTGGTAAGTTAAGAAGGGATAGAATTTGAAACAAATACATTCAAGAGAACTTAAGTGTGGCTCCAATAAGCGATAAGATGAGAAAAAGTAGACTTAGCTGCACTGACCATGTGGTGGCCAGCACCGAGGGCCAATTTTCGATTTTTAAAAAAGCCCAAAAGGGTGAAGGGGATAATTTTGACCCCCATAAAAGCTTAAATAAATTATGGGGGTTATTTTCAACCCACCAAAGTACAAAAAAAAAAAAACAAACAAAACAAAAAACAAAAAACAAAAAACAAAAAACAAAAAACAAAAGACAAAAAACAAAAGACAAAAACAACAACACTTTCTTAAACCCCAAATCTCTTTGCTATACCAATTTCTGAGAGTCGAAAAAAACAATTGTGGTTTAAAGAAGCATCCTAAGCTTTTATTTTCTCGTTGGAATTATTTTTAAGGTGCTATTGGAGAAACACAGATGTCCACTCTCTTCTTTTATAGTTTTATATTTCATCTTTATTGCACCATCTTGGTTTGGACTTTGGATGTTAGACTTTTCGCCTTTTTGGACTATTTCATTGTTTAGTTTTATACTTTTGCTGAAGACTTGAAGAGTTGGAGTCCATGTTATTATGGAATATGGAAAGTTGGAGACTATTAGTAATACATAGCCTATTCAACTTTTTAACGTTTTTTAAAAATTTTGCATGATTTGAATTTTGAAATTTTGAACAGGTTTATTCTTAACATGTGATATGTTATATATTTGTATATAAAAAAGTATTTTACAATACATACAAATGCAATAAATTACAAAATTGACACAAGAATATGCATATATGTACGTTTGGATAGCACATATATGTATATATCTAAAGAATTGGTACTGCAGCGTGCCCGCCTAGGCGCTAGACACCCGGCAATGGGCACTAGGCCGGCTGCCTAGGAGCCACCTAGTGTTTTTTGAAACCTTATGTGAAACACGGACCTAGTACGACACCTATTAGGAGATGCGAGTTGGTTCAAGTGGAAGTCTCATAAAGGGTAAGGGATAGGCCCAAAAGAATATGGTAGGAAGTAGTGAGTAAAGATATGGGGACTTATGGCCTCACTAAGGGTATGCCCTTGATCGAGCAGAATGGTGGACCCGGATTTGTGTAGCCGACCCCAAGTAGTTCGGAAAAAGCTTTGAAGATGATGATGATGATGTAAAACACCCTTCTATGTGATTTGTTGATGGTATTAGGGTCAGTTTTGCTGCAACATTTCTAGTGTAAGGCTTGTTAGTTGTCAAAATAATCCAGAACTCTTGAGTGCTACTTTTCCTGTCATAAAGCAAGTGTTCCAAGGTCCACTCTAGCAACATATATTTTTGGCATTTTGCTGAACTTTTTAGAGGTCACATGGCTAAAAGGGAAATCAACAGGCACGGTGCCATTCACTATTTTCACAAAATGTTAATCACTAAATCCATTATAGAGTTAGTATTTCGTAACATAACATTACCAAATTTCATAAGAAAGAGACATCACAGTTCCCTATTAAAAAAAAGATTCCATATTTTGTATTAAATCCCACTTCTCATCGCAGAGATAATATGAATGCGACCAAAATTGCACTGACCATTTTTCCATGACAGGACAAAACATATTAAAGTATATTTTGTCCCATTTGAGAAAGGCTACTTAGAGGGGATTGTTTTCCTTCCATTTTCTTTAACAGAGAAGGGTATTCATTCGTCATAATTATCCATAGTTGCACCCTCACATTGTAGTTGGTCATATATGCTCTACTCACCTTGTACTTTACATAATTACAAAAGAATAAACCTCAACTTATTATCATTGAAGTCTATTTTCCTCCACATATTCAAATATGATTTCTCTACTCACCTTGTACATTACATAATTACAAAAGAATAAACCCCAACTTATATCTTTGAAGTCTATTTGCCTCCACGTATTCAAATATGATTTCAATAATCTCAAATATGATTTCAATAATCACATTTTTTATCCTACAGCGCAATCCTTGTATTTCCATGTGGTATTCTTCTAGACACCTCAGTAAAAAAAAAAACATTCCATATTGATGCACAATGACTCCACATAAATGGAATACCTCTTTATCTCAAAATTCATGCAAAAAAGAAAGAAGGAAATCTATTATTTGATGCACATTAAATTACAGATGAAAGCACGGCCCTCCCCCTCGGGAGTGCCTCACTCAGGCTTCCTACTTCAGAACACTAAAGCGCTTATAATTTAATAGTTAGTTGAGAATGGTTTATGCAATAGTATGAATTTATTTACATACCTAACATCGCCCTCTCTTTTCGTCCCCAATGTCCTTAACTGGAACTGTTCTCTGATTTTGATTTCATCGAGCAGCTGAAGATAGTACGGGTATCTTTCCCAGTCACCCTTTACAATGCACCCTGGCTCCCCGAGATGTAAGCAATCATTGAATGAGCACTTTGCAGGTTCATTGGCATTAAGCATTCGTCTTACCTAATGAAATATTCAAATTAGGCAACTTGCAATCAATCTCAATTTTCTTTTTTTTAATGGATGTATATGTATGTGTGCATGCACGCATACATGTATACATACACACATAAAGAAAAGGTAAAGTACAAGCCAGTGGACTATGGAAAAACAATAGTCCATTCAATCATCACAGTCCAATGAAGTGATGTGTGATGGAGTTGGAAACCCCAAACAAGACATGATCCCCAGGGGGCGTCCTGTTCTCTTCAATGCCGCCCATCACTTCAATGAGCCGTGATGATCCAATGGAATATGATTTTTATATATATTCCTTTAGAAGATCGTGTACTTACAGTACTGAGATAAAATTATAAATAAATTATGAAGCCACAAAATGATTTAACTAGTATGTTGACAGCATGAACTAGAAATACCTCAGGAAACAACTGAGCAAGAGATTTTGTTGAAACATTCAAAAGACTAGGCTGATTGAATCCAGGAGTGTCAGCAAGGTAGCCACCTTCTGGAACTGGTAGCAAAGAAACGTTACGTGTAGTATGCTTTCCTCGGCCACTTCTCTCTGAGACTTCACCAACCTTCTGTTCTTCAAACCACTTGCTGCCCCCAATCTGGAATCAGTGCATTCAGATTATTTGTAATGAATAGCTCCCAAATGTTTTTTTATTTAATTCCCATAGGAGAGAAGTACAAAGAAGGACAAAACCTGATGGTTTATCTTTATTGAAAAAATTCAAGAGTCTCCCCTAACCAAGTCCCCATACATCAGTAAACACAACTTCACCTATAAACCTTAAAACTTAAAAGTATCTACCAAGTATAGATTTTAACAAGTTCTTTTTTGTTCCTTTTGAAAATAATTTAGAAAAGAAAAAGGACAAATATTTTTGGCCACAAAGTCTAAAGATGTTAACAAACAACATATTCATCTGCAATACAATAAGAGTGATCCTTTTTGAATGGTGATACTGGGTAGTGGGCTGATCCATGGTTCTGGATACAGAGGAAAAAATGAAGGCCAAGCAAAGGTCCATTTTATGTTTCAATGATGAGCTCTAACCCTCCTTATCAAAGATAAGGTTAAACTGTTAAGAAAAAATTAAATTTTACATCTCACTTCCACATATTGCATCTTTTTGTTAATTTACATCATCATACATTGGCTTCCGTTTAACCATTAGTAGTGTAATAAAAACATGAACTCAAATGGGAACGCAGAAGGGATCCAAGCCTGAGTCACAACTGACAGACTCGGCTGAGACAAATCAAAGGTAAAAAATAAAACAATGGGAATGGGCCAAACTCATCTGCTTACCATGTGTATGGGTTCTAGGCTCGGCAGGTGCAATCCTAGTGACTCAGGCGAGACCGAGTGGACTTGCATGAGTTTTCTAACACTGACCATAAGACGTTCTAGCCACACCAACAAAAATTTAAACTAGTGGACTCTGAATGTTAATTTTCCAAACTTTAATCTCATCAGACACATCAGAAGAAGACAATTTGCTTTCAAGAATAAAAACAAATGAAAAGATAAGACAATAGAATATCCACACATACATCATGTGCATTGATTAATGAGTTCTAGCATGTCTTGTGTAGTATAACAAATGCTACATTTATACGATCAATCCAAAACAACTACTTGTCCAGGTGGAATAAACTTTAACACAACATATCAAAAAGAATATTATAAGAAACCTCCGATGAGGTAATGCCGTAATGGAATTTAAGAAGTTTAAGAATGCACTAAATTTTAAAGTATAAAATGGCAATTTGTTTTCTTGAACGAAAGGGTGCAATTTGTGAATTTTCACCTTATCAACCGAGCTATCTGATTTGCTTCCAAGGTATCCAAGTTGATTGGTTCTGGATCTCAAAGCATTAATCAGACTCGACTTCCCAACTCCACTCGGACCAACTATAACAGTTGTTTGATCTTTCAAGATGAAGGCTATGGAAGGTAATCCAGTTCCATAATCAACACTGCAGAAGAGTGGTTCGTATCCCCAAGTACGAAGCCTATCCTTCCATGTCACTAGAGTCTGAACCCATTAAAAACATACAAAAAAAAAAAAGGAAAAGAAAATCATGGATAATGGTAAACTCCATCACATATACATAAGAAAAAAACTAGCAGCAAAAGCAGTAAGTAATGCAAGTACACTGCAATGTAAGTACCAAAAAGGTGGACATAAAATCACAAGCAGGGCTACAACAAGAAATCATAGTAATATAATTCAAACTTTTGTAACACATTTTTGACATTACCTTGGGCAATAACAAAAACTACCCATAACCAAAACTCGACAGGTAACACAATGGAAGGGAATTTGAATCCCAGCTTTGATGATAGCTCCACAGAGAGCCCAGACACTTAGGGAGTGGGTGGCACCTTGAAAGAATTTTTTTTTGTTTTTTGATAAATTGAAAAGAGGGTTTTGAAGATGTTTCCAAGTCCAGCAAGAATTTGTAATTCCACCTAGGCCAACAAAAGAAATTGGTAATTCTGTTTCTACTAAGGCCAAAGCAAGAGTTTTTTTCTTTTTTCTTTTGTGTTTTTTGACAAGGCATTCAATGACATGATTGACTTATTGAACATAATCAGGTTGGTCAGATGAGTAATAACTTATCCATGGAGACTCACAAATAGGTACATGATCTTAGTGACTCAATCTTGATACCCTACCATCATGGACATAGGGATACCAACAAATGCACTAATGCCCAGCCAAAAATGGAGTTGGTGAAGCGGAGGTTTTTCTGCTTGTGAACAATCACCAACTCCCTTCCCACTTTTTCCATGTGAACCGGTCTTTTTTTTTTTTTTGACAAATCCATGTGGACCGGTCTTTTTTTTTTTTTTGACAAATCCATGTGGACCGGTCTTCTCTCTGTTTCGTCCTGTCAATTTACGGCATGATATCTATACTTTCTCAGGATCATCTATATAGTTCCTTATTATAAAGAACTCCATATTTCTTCTCAAGAGTTACAAAGAATGATGAAGCAACTGAGCTCTGTGAGCTAAAAGATTCATGTATTGGATACTGAATTCAATAATTTGCATTTGTTCTTAATCTGGTAAGTGAGAACTATCTTACAACTTCATTCTTGAAATTTCCATCAACTAATGGGTATCACGTCAAATTTTAGCACAAAGCACAAAGAAGAAAAAATTGATCCCAATGAAACCCTAATATAAATATGCAATTCCACCAACGAGATTGTTTACATACATACATTTAGCAACATGGTATATATATAAAGATTCGATATCAACCTTTTGGAAAACAGAGAGGAGTTCAACGATAAAAAATGCTAGAAACGAAAGCTCCTAATCTACAAAATATGCGACAACATTTGTGCACGTGAGTTGGGCCAATGTAAGCATTTCTCTGTGTGTTAGTGCAACTGTGTGTATATGTGTGTGCGAGGGCTCATGTGCATCCACGTGTGAGTGTGAGACAGAGAGAGAGAGAGAGAGAGTACCTCCTCTTCCACTAGTTCCGATTTATTCAGGGCTAAGGTTACAGGAATTCCATAAGATTCAGCCTCGATCAAGAACCTGGTCAGAGCAAAGGGCTCCAGCTTCGGTTGCTCCATTGAGAAAAGCACAAGAAAATGATCCACATTTGCAACAGGTGGATCAATAATCTGAGCCTCTCTCTTAAAAATGTTCTCTATCATCCCTCTCCTATCAACCCAATCTATTCCTCCCACCAAAACCTTATCCCCCACAAGAACCCTCCTTCTAATCTTCTTAAGAACCGCTCTAACCACACAAAGAAGCTCCACACCGGCTTTATGATCCTTAGTTCCCCCTTCTTCTTCAAAACCCAATTCTCCATTGTCTGTATTCTTACCTAACAACCCTAATTTTTCAGAGCACAATTCATGCTTCATAACATTTTCAATAACCCCTTTTCTCCCAATCTCTTTTGCTTCGGAACTCAGTATAGAACTATCAATTCTCCCTCTAGATAGCTCCATTGTCTCTCTAGATGCACTCGTGTCATCTACAACTGAGCTTGAACTTTTTGAACCAGAAAACCTAGAATCATCACCATTTTCACCTTTGAAAAGAGAAGTCCTTATCCTCAAGGTCTGCGCATAATCAGAAAGATCATCAGCCGTCTCCGCTAATGGGCTTACTCTTCTAGGTTTCTCGGAGTCATAAACCACCACTCCTGCTCTTTCAACAATGACCCTCATGAAATTGGCCTGAGCTGAAACCACCATTCCTATAGCTTGATTCTGACTAAGGTTCTGGTTCTTATCAAACTCCAAGGATTGCAACAATGGGGAAGAGTCGGAAGATGAAATGCCCTTTTCCTTTATGGTTTCCTTGGCCTTGAGCCAGTTCCTATCAGGCTGAACTCTCCTGTTAATACTGGTTCTTGAAGCCATGGCTCTAAACTCGTCATCTGAGCTTTGAGTGTGCAGAAATCTGGAGGTGTAGAGAGGGGAGCAACGAATTTCATAAAGGGAATTGCAGATAGAGAAGCTGAGGTATTTTGAGGGGTTTAATGGAAACAGAGAGGTTTTCCAGTTGGAGAGGGCAGGGAGAGAGACCATATTGTGGCGAAATGCTAGGAGACAAAAAGACCGCATGATAAGTGACGCATAGGAAGATGAGTTGCAGAGGTTTTATGATTTAGAGAGCAGAGAATTTAGAGAATTGTTCTTTCATGTAGGCGACGAGAATAGCACCCCCATGGTTTCTTCAGTTCTCGTAAAAGTTGAGCGTGTCAGGGTGCAGTTCCTATAGGGCCCAGGCCTCATGGTAAAAAAGCAAGGGAAAATTACATAAACCCCCTAAAATCACCGTAATGGTAATATTTTAATGTCCTACCCATATCGATGTGGAAGGGTCTCATAACACACATAGATGTAGAAGGATCTCGTAAGATCAAATTTTTTTTTTTTAAAACCCATATTTCTTAGCAAATACACCTACACAAAAAATTTCTAAGATAATACTGCCCCTCTCTTACCGACTAACCTATTTCTATTTCCACTCTCTCTCTTCACTGGTACTCTCTCTTCACTAGTACTCTCTCTCTTTACGATTTACCCACCTATTTTTACTCTCGCTCTCTCTCTCCACTGGCGCTCTCTCTCTTACAATTTACCCTCTGTTATTAGTCCGACGTTCGTATATTGCGATTCAACAATTAGGAAGGGGCAATCCAACGTTCTGATGAGGCGCTCTGGCGTTTTATCTCACTGGAACTGCCCCGGTTCGACGTTTTGAGGGGCAATCTGAAGGTTAGGATGCCAGTCCGACAGTCGTATACTGCGGTTTGGTGATTAGGAAGGGAAATCCGGCATTTTCATGGGGCACTCCGGCGTTTCATTTCACTAGAACTGCCCCGATCCGGCGTTCTGAGGGGCAGTCTGACAGTTAGGATGCCAGTTTGGAATTCGTATACTGCGGTCCGGCGATTAGGAAGGGCAATCTGGCATTTTCATGGGGCACTCCAGTGTTTCATTTCACTGGAACTGCCCTGATCCGGCATTCTGAGGGGCAGTCCAGCAGTTAGGAAGGCTAGTCTGATGTTCATTTATTGTGGTCCGGGGATTTTTTCTGTTGGAGGGGCGTTCGGACCTTAAACAAATTCGATCTAATAATTTCGTTTTATTGGATTTGAAAATGACTTTTTAAAATACAGGAAGGGTATCTTTGTCAAAAAAAAATCACTTTTGGTATTGGGGGTATTTGCTAGGAAACATATTTTTTGAGAAAAAATTGTTAGGAACGCTTAGGTGGGGGTAAGCTTAATGAATAGTTATATTTGGGGGGGTTTATGTAATTTTTCGAAGAAGCAAAGCTCCATCACATAATTTGTCCTGAAATATACTTCAAAGGAAGCATCTACAAAACGCCTATATGTACACTATCACCGTCCAACTCATGTACCTACACCTCATCACTGTACAAATTCATCATATTGTCATAATTGTACGGTAGTATTTAAATTTTTATAATTATTGTACCAGATTTATCTAAAATTTGGGTTGTATGTACATATGAATAAGTCGCACCAAAATAAAATATTTAAAAAATAATAGTCATAAAATAAAATGATAAAATTACCCCTGAAACTTTATAGGGGTATTTTGCATAATTTGTATCATTCAAATTATTTGCTTTATATTTTATTCATTTGTATCTCACTAAGGGACACACACTTGCAAAATTTCATATCATTATGATTTGTAAAACAATTATTAAAATTTAATTACTATCAAACATCCGTAACTGTGTGATAAACTTTGAACGGTGATAAAGCCGTAAGTGAAATATTGTAGAACTTCACCTATAAGAAATCTGTGAAGGAAAAAGTTTATATAATTGCATGACTCGTAACAATCAAATTAGGGTCTACCTAAACAATTTCAGTAGAAGAAGTTGTTTTCATACCCAAATATCCTCAAATTAATCATCTTGGCCTCACGATGCATAGACATGAGAAAAGTAGGGATTTTCAAGTTTTAAAAATAGTACATCTTGTAATGCATTTTTTGGATAATCAATTTTAAAGGTTTTCAAGTTTTTATAGATATGCTCGTTCTACACTATTTTTTAAGCTTTAAATTTTAGTGTAGAATGGAGGGTGACTTTTTTTTTTCTTTTTCTTTTTTTCTTCTTTTTTTTTGTGTTAACTAGATTTCAATGAAATGAACAAAATTAGAATTATGCATGAAGATCAAACATACAAAGGATGGAAGAAAAACAAAGCAAATACAATCAGTCAATTGTTTCCTCCTTTGCCAATCTGTTAGCCTCATTATTCTTTTCCATGTTGATCAACATCATCATAGCCTTTTTCCAATTAATTAGGATCGGATTATTTTAGCAGATGAAATGGACAATAATTGTATCTCTCCCAAGAAGCCTGTAAAAAACCATTCTGGGGCTCCATATCCAAAGAATTCCATTTGGGTCTTTACACGATTTTACAACCACCAAATTATAGTCCAACCACCAAATATTCCTAAATATTCCACAAAACCTATTTTTAGAAAGAAATTATATGCTTGACTGGAGTCCGTACATGTTCAGAATTACTGAAATTTCAATAAACCAAGAAATCAGGCAATTTGGTATGAAATTAGTTTCCAGTCCAATAACCTCGAAAAGCCTAGAAAACCCTAGGTAATCTACACCTAAAGCCTCAGAAAAATATTTATGGGCACAAAAACTCCCCCTAGAGCATCTGACAACTTCTGGATCAGCCAACCTCTAAGATGAAGGAGAGAAGACTCAACCTTCTACCTGATTTGGCCCCCAACTCCCAGTGCTAACCGAGAGGGCTCGACCTCTAGGCACTTTTCTTTGTTTCCATTTATTCTCCCTTATATCTTGTTCTTTATTTTCTCTATTTTCAAATCTCTTTCGAAACTCGTTTTTCTATTTTTCCTACCATCTTCTAAAGTCCTCTTCAGTTTTACACGAATCTGAGTTGCCCTCTAGCCGACAATATATGAGAAAGAGATCACTTTTTTAAACCGATTTCTCATAGATTGGAATTTGACAGGATCCACCTCTACTAATGATTTAAATTACAAGCTTGTGCATAGATCGTAACAGGGTGGACTTTAAATAATTTGTTTCATCCGGGTTTTGCATGTAAATGGCTTTAAACTTTCCTAAGAAAGTATTTAAGTTCTCTCAACTCTTTTATTTCAAATATTTGGGAAAGAGAATTATTGATTTTTTTAACTTCTCTTTTACCATTGCCAGTAGTGATTAAACTATCAACACAAATAATTGTTCCTATTGAAGAATAATTAATGAATATGTAGGAAACTGCTGTAGAGAGAAAAAATGCTTGTTTGCAAAAAGACACTCTTACCTCGTCAAACCATGTTGTAGGTGCTTGTTTCAAACTATAGAGAGCCTCATTTAACTTAAACAAATATTGAGACTTTATAAGACCTTCATGTCCTTCAGGCTTATTCATATTCACCTCTTTATCAATCTCTCCATTCAATTTTTCACATCTATTTGATAGAGCAACCAACCTTTCACTGCAATCAAAGCGATGATCACATGAACACTTGTATCCTTTGCAATTTGACCAAATATTTATACCTTATTTTGTAAATCTACTTGCAACTAATTGTTTTCTTACTCTTGGGAAGAGGAACTTAATCCCATGTTTGATTTATGGAAAGTGCACGCACCTCTTCCTTCGTAGCATGTTGCCATATTGATTGCTTGCTACATCTTATTAACTTTTCGGTTCATGCTCAGCTATGACTTACATCACGTATGCATAGTGTATATTACAGACATAATAATCATCAAGCTTTTTACCTAGAGACATGTTCCTTTTTGGATATCGCTTGATATGTTCTTGAGCTTGGGAACGGACGGGAGGGAGCATTTCCTTCCCTTCTCATGATGTGGGAGTAGCCGGTTTCAAGAGGGACTTTGGACCATCATTGGTGGTGAAGGATCTTGTCATTCTTCAACTTTTTGTACAGCTTGATGCCATTGTACATATTCATCAAATTTCACATCTCTGCTTTTATAGGTGCAATGAATTATTGGATCTATGCATTGATATGCTTTTATTTTCTATGAATACCTAATGAAGATGCACTTTATAGCTTCATCATCCTCATCATTGTGCTTCACAAACGCTATATATCGAAAAACATGCAACTGTTTGATATCTTGTTTCTTCTTAAAAAGTAACAGCATATGATTAATCAGGTATACTATAGTGTCAATGGACTCGGTCCAGTATACTTTAGTAGATTATTTCCATTCATCATTGGACAAGCAGCTTCCACGATATGCTACTTCTTCCTTTCAAAAAATCTTGTTTTATTGAGATATAGTGGCACGTGCCTGTTACCTGCTAATCCCCTTGTTTTTCAAAAAATCATCAAATTATTCTGACTACTATTACATGTCCTACTCTATTCTTTTACACAACTCATTCTCAATAAGCACTTTGAAATTTTTGAAGTACCCAATTAGTTCATACTGTTTTACAGAAAATAAATCTATGCGAACATCGAATAATCATCAATAAAAGTGATATAATACCTCATTTGCATGTGTGATTCAACTAGACTTGGATTCCACACGTCACTATAAATGATCTTTAAAGGGTGTCATGTTGTGGTGGATACTTTGTAGCCTTTGCAAATGCCCATTGTTCACATAATGATTCCCATCAAGTTGTATCATATGTGTTCCAATAATCTAGCTACGTTCTTGCCAAATCCCTTAGCGTAGGGAGATTGCAATGTCTGATTCTCTTGTACTATAAACCTGTAATATCAATAGAAGAACTCTAATTAATAGATGGTAAATCCATGCTCATAGCAAATAAACGACTTTCTTTCTGCAACTGATCTTCTTTTGATATGATTTCATAGTAAATTTCACCCAAAAAAAAAATCAAATGAAGGCCTTAATCTACCAATTATTTCCACAACCACAAGATTTTTTCTAAGTTGTAGAACATTTAAGGCATTGGAAAGCTGCATGATATTTTTATTGGACACTTGTAATGTAGGAGCCTTTCTTTTATCTAGGGACCTTATGAGACTCACCTTGCTCATTATTCTAAGGTTGTGGCCAGGATTCTTTATTATTTCATGTTATTCTTGAACCAATGTATCTCTATGGGAATTAGTAAACATGCTGCATTTTGGTCTTCTACTTTCTTGAAACCACTATTTGACTCCAGGTTTATTCTATTAAGAAGTACTTCC